TCTCTTTTCCATGTATTATTCTCCAAATATCCACCAGTTGACACTCATGCATCACCTTCTTCAAAATTCTCAGAGATCTACCTCCCTCTCGCTGCGCAGAAGAGGTTGTATCCATTTGTGGATCCATACAAAAATTTAAGCCCCCTGCCATTATCAAGCACCCCTTTTTGAAGGCCATCAATTTTCTCAAAACACCTTTCAAATATATCTCCAATCTCTTATTTGGGCAATAAATATTCACAATTGTGCATTCAATTTCCTGTAATCTACCCTTCAAAAACAAAAATCTCCCCTCAGGATCTATTTCTCTCTCCTCTAGCACAAACCTTATGTTTTTTGCAAGCCCTATTGATACTCCATTTTCTCTCTTAATTGGGGAATCTGCGTAATACCATATTGGATAATTTCTAGAGTTCAACTTAATAATTGACTCAATCTCAAAATGTGTCTCCTGCTGAAAAACCACAGAAGCTACTCTATGTTGCAACTCCTTGAATAGCTTAAATCTTTTCCCAGGAGAATTCAACCCATTTACATTATATGTTATAAACCTTAATTCTTCCATACTTCTTGTATCTTTTTTTTTCCCACTCAATATCCTCTTTTCCACCCTCAATTCCTTTGTGATTCCCTTCCTTGTACAGAGTATTAACTTTAATACCCCCTCCCCATTCACCTCCCCACCCACCCTCCCATGTTACTACTTTCCCTTCCCACTCCTGTCCCAATACCCCCCCCCCCCTTTGCTACCCAACCCATTTTAGGCCTCTAACTTGCCTATTAATCATTTGTGGGTCTATTCCCACCATTGATTTAAACCTTAGGGCTAAGCTCTGCCCATGAACGGCACTCCCTCCTTCCAACCTCCCCAATTACCCTCCCTCTATCTGTTTATTTCTATTATCTTTAATTTTCACGGTGCGTAAAGGAAAAAATAAAACAAAAAAAAAAAAACGGATCCCCAAGGAAACGTCATAGAGAGGAAGAAGTAGAGAGGGGAGAGAGAGAGGAAAAAAACCCCAAAAAAAACGGAAGAACCAAACACCCCTCTACTCCTCCTTACTTCCCCGTTCTAACAATCTGCCAATCCTCCTTTCCCCTGACACCTATTTCTCCCTCTTCTTCACACCCAATAATTACTGTTCTATGTAATTCCAGTCTATCACAGAAGTCTCTAAAATCCTCTGGAAATCTCAAATAAGCTGTAACACCATTCTTCCATCCGATTAAACACGCTGGGTTGCCCCATCTATAGTGTACATTCCGTTCTCTCATCTGCTCTAGCAGGGGTTTCAAAGATCTCCTTCTCTACAAAGTCTCAGACGATAAGTCCACAAAAATCTGAATTTTTATTTCTCCATACTTAATGATTGTTTTTCCTTTGGTCCTTCTCCAAATCTCTTCCTTATCCTCATACTTGTGCAATTGAGCAATTGTATCTCTTGGTTTTTCCTTCTCATTTCCTTGGTGAAACTTTCCTGTTCTATAGACTACATCCAATTTGACTAACTCTGTTTCAGGTCTGTCCATAATGGAGTTAAACATTTTACAAACTGTTTCTCGCAGTTCTCCTCCTTTAAAGATTTCTGGGATTCCACATATCCTAAGGTTGCTTCTCCTATCCCTGTTTTCTTGTACTTCCATCTTATACAGCAATTTTTTCTGAGTGTTCCCAATTGTAGTAGTCTTTTTTTCTAAATCTGAGATGTTTTGGGTATGGTTTTTAACTTTTCCCTCTGTTTCTTCCATTCTTAGTAACAAATGACCCAAATCCTGTCGTATGGTTGTCATTTCTTGCTTTTTCCAGGTTTTTAAACATTTCTGCAATTTCTCTTTTATTCTGTACTTGTAAATCATTTTCCAAGTCCTTCCTCTCTATATTTTCTGACATTTGTTGGCTGCTACTGTTCAGGCCCAACGATAATCTAGGGCTATTTTCCAGGCTAGTTTCCATTTCCCCTTTTTTACTTCCACCTTGGGACCTTTCTGGAGTCGCATTCCTCTGGGACGTATATTTTTTAATCGTACCCGTATGGGACCCTTTAAGCCCGCTTCCTTTAGCGCTTTTATTCTTCATATCTTTTGTGTAGCTTATTATCTTTAACCAACCCAGAGGGAGACTTTAGGATATATATCAGGGTGCCAGTATTGGTCTGTTCTTTATCAGTTAACACTTCCTTTCCTCTTCTCTTCTAGAGCCACTAAAACCTCTTATCTTCTTCCACACTCTTAAATCCCCCTGGGAATCCCCCTGCTCTCTTTTACAGGCTTTTTAAATTCACATCCCACAGTCCAAGACACTATACATTTAAGGTTTATTGTTAACCTGGGCCATCTTCACTCACCCTTCTTCATTAAATTCTCCTGTGAGCTGGCCCTAGTCTACGGCTGTCCGCTTCTCTCTCCCGAATGTGTCCCAGGGGGATTCTTCCTTCTCTTGTGGTCCTCAGATAGATGTCCGACCGCTGCCTCTGCTGAACGATGGGTTAGGGATTAGACCGGCATCTCCCTCTCCTCTCTGGACGCCGGCCGGCTTTTCCGCTTCCCAGTGCTCCTTAGTGGCTGACCACGTGGTCTCGCCGCGTCGCTCCGTCACCCCGGCAACCCCGCTGCTGTTTCTCAGATTGTCGGGGGATCGTCTCCTGGAGCTCGGGGCCCCTTCCTCTCCTGCCCCTCTCACCACACCAACATCTCCCACCCGAGGACCTCCTAACACAGGTAGGGCTCCACACACCGTGCCATGAGGGTTCTCGGGGTGGCTACTATGGAGGTTGCCAGAGAGCACTCACAACGTGCTCTCCTGCGCCATTATGTTCAGGCTCCGGCCTCCTCCGGATACTCTGTTCTTTTGCTTGGACTCTGTGAACCTCCTTTTTCCTCTTTAATCAGGACATTGTTCTACCCTCTCTGTGCCCTGCTCTTAAGCATCCCGAGAGGTATCTTGAAAATGCAGTGCAAGTTTACCGTTCTGCCACGGCCTCCATCCAATATTCATCTCATTCCACCATCTCTAGGTGGACTAGGCATGTCATCACTAAGGTTTATGTCTTGAAGGATGGGACTCCTTCTTTTCCTGTTAGGCCTCACCCAACCCATTCAGTCAATGCTTCTTGGGCTTTTTCAGCACCAGGCATCTGTTTCTTAGATTTTCATGACTGTCATCTGGTCCTTTATTCACATGTGTGTGTGAAGTTTTATCAGGTGGATGTTCAAGCCTTTGCTGAAGCCAGCTTCAGCTGCTTTGTGTTTTATACTGCTCTGTGAATTTGGAACCTGATTCCTTGTTTGGTCCTGTTGGCATTGTTTGCTGTGTAGCTTGTTGTATTACTTGGGGACATCCTAAGATCAAGATCTTAAAGAGCCTGTGTCCTGTACTATACAATTAAGAAATTGGATTTTAGACTTACCTGTAAAAGTTTTGCAAAATGTTGGAGTATAGAAGACATTGAAGAAAACCAGGAGTTGGTGACTATTGCCAATGGTGCATAAAGTAAAAGAGATTCAAAAAAGTTGCAGTTGTCACCATAACATGAATAGAGGAGAAATCTTCCAATGAGGCACTTATTGCAGCATCAACAAAAAAGGTTTTTCCTCACTTTGGAAAGCTTTCTTCTTGTTTTCTGTTGTATCTCCAGGACAGTTAATGGAAACACTGTATCTATCAATTGCACACAGGGACAAAAAATGTTAGCACGGGTTTAGGTGTTCAAATAATTCCATACAATGGAATTATCAATAAAAATGACTTTTGATTTACTTTATATAAAGATCATATGAAGAATATAGTTTATTTTAGCAAACACACCAAATATTTCTTCATTCATTTAAGTCTGATGTTCTACCCCTTGTTCAGTATATTTAATGAATACATTGTCAATACTAATCCTAAATAAAATAGTTCTAAAGGCACAAGGTTTTTTACCTTCATACATTCTATGCAGCATTCTGTGCAGCATTCACCCCAGCCCCCCAAATACTTACCTAAGCCCCCTCTTGATCCAGCGATGTGCACTGGAGTCTCGACTATCCCTGGACTATCTCTCCTCATTGGATGAGACAGAAGTGGAAGCCATTGGCTCCCACTGCTGTCAATCACAGCCAGTGAGACAATGAAGAAGAGAGAGGGGACAGGGCCGAGTGAATGGGCACATGGAGTAGTGGGGTGCCTCCATAGCAAGCTGCTTGCTGTGGAGGCACCCGACAGGAGGAAAGGGGCCAGGAGAGCCTGTGGGGGACCTGGGAAGAGGAGGATTAGGGCTGCTCTGTGCAAAACCACACAGCAGGTAAGTATAGACATGTTTGTTACCAATAAACCAAAATATATAATCTTGCACACTTCTATGGATAACAATTACCCTCCTCCTAATATTAATTCAGTGTCAATGTAAATTATATGTATTCAATTAATTAAGAATCCAAAAATAGCTGCTCTTGCACATAACCCTTATCCCATATAAGGCAAAACTAATAAACACAGTGACCAGTGCAGTGCTACAATGTAAAGTGAAATCACAAAATATATTGGGAATTATATATAAAAAAATCCAATCATCTTCATTAGAGTACTTCCATCCTTCTGCAACCACCAAGTGCTCCAAAGCATCGGACACTGAAGATCAACTTGATGAATTCCAGCTATGGTTCACACCTTGTCCCGAATACAACTCCCTCCACCACATCACTGTGTGATCGGGATCCTCAGTGTCCAATTTGGAACCAAAAGCGCAGTTAGACCAAGCATAATATTATGTGAGGTCACATTGCTGGAGGTGAGCAGACATCTGGTGGCGGAATATTGCACTTATATGCTTTCGAGCACTTGGTGGTTGCAGAAAGATGGAAGTACTCTAATGAAGATGATTTTTTATATATAATTTCCAAAATATTTTGTGATTTCACTTTATATTGTGGCGCTGCACTGGTCATTGTGCTTAATAGATATGTTTGTCATTGTATACGCCTTTAGAATCACTTTAACGTAAATGTATTTTTATTTTCAGAGTCTGGAGCACTGGATACCTTGCCCTCAACAATGTCCTCAGAAGAAACAACCCAATCATGAAAACAAAATCCTTTGTATTTGACTGTATAATTCCAAATCCAATAAATGTTTTCACTTAATGTTCATACAATTTCAATTATAAATATATCCCAATAATACTACAGTGTATTTTTGCTTAAGTAAAATTAAGCTACAATAAAAAATAGCAGCTGCTGTCTGATGTTTTTCATATACAATAATTTATTTACAGTTAAACTAATTAGACTGACCTATTCTTGTATATGTGCAAAACAAAAACCACACAAATATATCTAAGCCTGGCAAAAAAAAAACTATTTATACATCATGATGATGTGCAATGTGCCCATTTCAGCCACAAATGCTGAAAAAGAGAAAATATGAAACAGAGCAATGTCTGATCCTCAAACTCAATGCACACCTTGTAATACTATGTTTCCCTTAAATGCTGAAATATCTAAAACTCTCCATGACAGCAAGGCAAATAAAGACCCAGCTTCTCTTTGGAGGAATCAAAGAAAAACCAAATCTAATAAAACCCATGGCGCATCCTAACAGTGAAACGAGCCTTGGAAAAACATTTCTTTTTAATCAGTGACAGTCTATGAAACCATTAAAAGTCTTTTTACATGTCAGAGATTGGTTTCCACTAATGATATATTGAGAAATCTTATAAAAGAAAAAAACATATTCAAAAAGCTCTAGGATTTATGAGAATATATTTTGCTTTTAAAATTCATATAAATGATGTAGCGCTACTCACATTTCATAGGAATAAAAACATACATATAGGTGTGAATAAAAACTAGTGACAAAATATACGGACAAACACAATAGTGAAATCAAACTGGAGCTATACAATCCATTAGAGTGCCACAATCTAAAAATATAAGTGAACCAACAGTGAAACCAAATGTGTCATTTAGTCTATGTGTCACATTGCATGGTTGTGCATTGTTTCACTGAACCTACAGTAGAGTTCAGCATCTGTACAATCTCCAAAAACTGGCATTTTGATGTGCAATACCCATGGTTGTCCTATATGACATTTTTAAGGAAGACATTTTTAACCAGAAAAAAAAAATCTGAAAAATGTGACGACATATTGTCCTAACACACATAAATGCACATACCGGTAAGTATATACTATTACCCAGTACATGTATGTGATCTCTAGACACCCCAAGTTCCACTTTAAGTGATTGCATACCTCATATATACCAGACGTATGCAGTTAAGGTCAAACCAATAATAGCCACTTGCCCTCCAGAGGATTTACCCCCTTCCTGACCAGGCCATTTTTTGCGATAAGGCACTGCGATTACTTTAACTGACAATTGCGCGGTCATGCAATGCTGCACCCAAATGAATTTTACGTCCTTTTTTCCCCACAAATAGAGCTTTCTTTTGGTGGTATTTGATCACCTTTGCGCTATAAACAAAAAAATACTTTTGACTTTTTGCTATTAAACATATCCAGTAAAAAAATTTAAAAAATCAAATTTTGTCATAAATTTAAGCCAAAATGCATTCTGCTACATGTCTTTGCTTAAAAAAATCCCAATACTTGTAAATTAATTGATTTACGTGAACGTTATAGCATTTACAAATGGTGGTATACATACTGGAATTTTTATTTTTTTTTGCTAGTAATGACAGTGATCATCGACTTATAGCGGGACTGCAGCAGGCATTCTGACAGTGGAGGGAACTGACTTGGTGTCACTGACATCCCCAGTGACACCAATAGTGATCAGTGCTAGTAAAAAAAAGCACTGACATTGTACTAATGGCACTAGGCATGAAGGGGTTAACATCTGGGCCGATAAAAGGGTTAACTGTGTGCTGTGCGCTGTTTAACTATGTTGGTGGTGTGTGTGTTTCACTGTAAGCATACTTCTTTGTATGTCTTTGCTATGCATATGCAGGAGCTGACGGGACAGATCTGTGTTGTTTATACACAGGTCTTTCCCCCATCATAGATACTCGATCATCCGGTGTCGGCGAGTAATCACCAGCCGGGAACCGGTTATTGACAGCTGAGGCCACAAGCGCGCACCCCTACCCAGAATTGCAAAATCACGTATATATACGTGATTTTGTGCACCCGTACCACCCTGTAGAGGTATTTGCAATAGTAAACAGTGAAAATGGGAATAGCTGCTTGCACCAAATATAGGATACACTATGTTAAGTCAACATGAAAAAACACAAGGTGCTAGTGCCAAGTACCCCAAAGTATGAAATGGCTGAACAATAAATCACAATTTAAAAACCAAAAATAAAAATGAAATGCAATAATAATGTTCAGTAATACAAACTGTAATAATAAATTAATAACATAAATACAACCAATTAAAAATAATCAAAGTGCAGTATGGAAGTGCTGTTCAGAATTAAAACATCATATATGATTCTTAAATGGTGACCAGTTGTGCCTTTACAAATCTGACATCATCAGAGACACAGAGGCCATGCAAGCCCATGCACCTTATATGAAACATTCGCAATAAGGGCAAGGAGGAACCCCAGCCAACAAAAGCACTGACTATAGAAGTGATTGCCATCTTTTGGACAAAAAGTATACATGCTTAAAATTAAAATATAAACACAATATTTATAAGCGCTTAGTGTGCCAGGGAGATGCAGCACTTAATGTTCCAGATACAGGAAATTACAACTAACATTACGTAAAAGGTGCATTACCCCCTATGCTAATAAACAAAAATAATGATAAAACAAAAATAACGATTTAACACCATAATATATAAATACTCAAAAAATGTGTTATGCAAAAATACCAAATGCAAGCAAAAAAACATATATACAGTACCAGTGCATAATTAAAAAAAAGAAGAAAGAAGGAAAAAATAATAAAAAGTACACTCCGAGTGGACAATTACGGCCCCACAGGGCAATACACTACATATGTTTCTGAATGCAAAATTCCACATGCAGTGCTCACAGACCTCCAGAAAGCCAAAAGTGCCAACTGCTTACCAGATCCCAATAATCTCCAAAGACAAGAGATCAAAAGCAGTTAAACCAGTAAATGAGGTCATTCCAGGGTCCACCTCCTCTTTCAAATCTCTTCACTCCTAACAGTATGACAGATACAAAACTATCCTCAGGAGTGGTGTAAGAAAACAATAGGATACCATGGAGTACTATCGTTAAAACTCCCAATTTTTTGCATACAATTTTTATAGATATTCATCAATGTTAAAAAACAAGCTACAGCTGAGATCCATAAATATGTAAAAATAGGAAGTGCTGGTCGGCCATTTTTCCATGCTAGTAGATGCATAATCTGTTACTCTTCTAAGAAAGTGGTGAACATAGCCCACGAAATGCATCAAGAATAATCTTTTTTCCCCACTGTTCAAATGGAAGATCTGTGGACATGGGAATGCAGGCCGCACCTTTTCTCCCTCTCCTGAATACGCAATATATAACTATCTAAATAAATAGACACAGACAATCTTTAATGGCAAAATTTTGCCTGCTGCACTTTATTGGTTTAAATAAATAAATGATAACAAATACTATAAATAATTAATTAATAATCAAGTTTATACTTCTCTTATCAAATAGCAATCAAATAGCTCTGTCGTTAAGGACTCAAGCTCAAACTGAATAAATATAACAACAGTCCCCCCCTTTAAATGTAAAGGGTGACAATACCACATAATGTGCCCTACGACAAAAAGGGGAGGGGGGAGGGAGCTCGTTGCACTGACAAGGACCAGCTGGCAATCTCCCGCCGATGGAGCTCCTATATATAATGAGCCCCACTTTCTAGAACTTTCCACTAGTCATGTGACCTTCTGGAATTTTCTCCCAGGGCAGGTGCTACTTGTTTTCCTGCCCAAACTCTCTTTAAAATTTAAAGACACAGTAACCTTTTATATATATATTTTATACATATCTCATTTTTTTTTAAATGAAAAGAGGGAGGGGCGGCCGCCTCCCCATGTTATTGGGCCCAAATGATTGAGCCCTCTTAATGCATGGGAATGCAGGCCGCACCTTTTCTCCCTCTCCCGAATACCCAATATATAACTATCTAAATAAATAGCCACACACAATCTTTAATGGCAAAATTTTGGCCGCAGCACTTTATTGGTTTAAATAAATAAATAATAACAAATACTAAAATAATTAATAATCAAGTTTATACTTCTTTTATCAAGTAACAATCAAATAGCTCAGTCGCTAAGGACTCGAGCTCAAACTGAATAAATATAAAAACTGTCCCTCACCAGCCGGGCTTGAAATTTCAAGTCATCTCAATGCTATTTTGCAATCCCAAATTAAAAATGTCTAAACCTACTTCACTTAATTACACTTCATCTGATCTGTATATTCCCCTAAAGCCTAATTCTAAATCCAAATGTCTATAGGAGAGGCCACCTAAAAAAGGCATGAACTTTTCCATAGACTTGTTCAAACGACGTCTAATTTTTTCCAAATTTTTAAATTTTGGATAAATTAGCCACTTAAGATGAGGTACTATCTCAGAGAAAATAATTGTGGTATTCGGAGATGATAATTTGAAGCGATGTAAGTCACGCTTCATCATAAACATTAGATCCAGAGTATTTATATTACCAACATCATTTCCCCCAAGATGAACGATTAAAATATCTGGAGCAGGCCACACTTCAAATAACCTGGAAAGATGAAAGATAATATTAGACCAATGAAGACCTCGTATTCCTTTCCATAAACTTGGAATTTTTTCGGATCCAAGGACAAATTAGCAGTGTAACAACGTTGTACAGCTCTTTTATAAGCCCAATAAAAAAAAAGAGTGTCCAAGGATCCATATATATCTTCTATCACCTAAAATTAAACAGAAAGATTAGGTCTAACATAAATCTTAAAACATTGAGACTCCCATCTGCCAAGTCTTTTTATAATAGTTTCGTCCAAACCCAATCTTGCGGCTTCAGTTGCTGCTCCTATTCTAAATGAATGTGACGTGAATCTAAATGGTTGAAGCCTTAACTTATTTATGCACTCTTTAAAAACAAAATCAA